TTCAGTAACTCGCTGTGTAGCCAGCCTGTGACCATCTCTTTGCCTCAGTTTTCACATCTGTAAAGTGGAGGGGGCCACCCGTCTTAACTTACCTCACAGGGACATTTTTAGGATCTTGGGTGTGGAGTTCCTTGGAAAGTTCAAAGGTGAGGAGGGCACCTTTGGTGATAGTTGTAAACTAATTTACAAGAGAATCCAAATAGATTGGCCTTTCCAATGTGAGCCTGTTTCCTGGACTTACAATCTAGCCCCATCAATATTCATTCACCAATTCATGTGATAAGCATTTATTGGGCACCCACGGAGGGGATACTATAGCACCCCTTCAATCAGTTCCTCACCCAGGCCCAGAGCTCGTTAAATTACAGTCAGGTCCTGTTGTTCTGTTCGAACCCTGCCATTGTTCCCATTTTACTCCAAGTAAAACCCAGCATCCAGCAATGACCCAAGACCCAAATGACCTGCCCCTTTAACCTCTGATCTCAGCTCCTACTACTCCTCTGACCCGCCCAGCTGCAGCCACACCCCCTCACCACTGCAGGGCTTTGCACTGGCTGCCCCCCTCCCTGCAATGCTCTTCCCCCAGATACTGACGCTGTCCAATCCCTCTTCTTTTCAAGGTCAAGACTCAAACGTCTCAAATGTCAGTGGGATCTTCTCTGTACACCCTCTCTAACATTTCAGCCTTCACATCTCTCACATCTCCTCCTCCTAGCTTTAGAATTTATTTATTTTTTTTTTACCATTTAAATACTATTTATTTTCCTTATTTACTTAATCTATTGTCTGTCTCTTCACTAGAATGTTACCGCCTTGAGGGCAGGGTCTCTCGTCTGTTTTGTTCACAGTGAATCTGCGGTGCCTAGAGTAGTCCCTGGCATGTAGTAGAAGCCCATTAAATATTTGTTAAATGAATGGTGAGCATACAGACAGCCTGCATTCCACTCGGGAGAGCCTGGGGGGTAAGGGTGAGGAGGGGTGGACAGGTGCAGGCCCCAGGCCACAGAGGTCTCTGAGAGCCCTCCTCTCCATAGGTGTCATCCCGGGGTTGCATTATCACTAGTCTTGAGCAGCACGATTTATAACAGGAGTTAACTGCTTACTAATTAGCAGCTGGAACAATTAATTGGCTATTTGTTAGAGCCCGATTTAATAAACCGGTCTTTCAGCAGGGCCGTAACTCTCCCCGCTGCCCATCCCCTCCCAGCCAGCCTTCCCCACCTGACCAGAGAGTGTCTTGCCCTGAGATTGAATCGATACCTGCCACTGGATGATTTTCAGAGACAATTTCCCTCGCAAGGCGATGACAACATCCCCTCAAAGACCCTTCCTTTCTTTCTCCCTCTCCTCCTCCAGGCTCTGACTGACTCGCTGGAGGTGAGTGAGCAAGAGGCAGAGGAAATGGGGGGGCTTTCTAGTAACACACTCTCACAACAAAAGCCCACAGCTGCCCTGCAGTGCCAAGTGCCAAGGTCTGGCTGCTGGCTCCCTGGCCTGGCACCCCCCACTCCCCCCCCCCAGTCAGCAGCTGGTCCCTGAGGCCTCCTGGAGCTCAAGGGCTGAGCTTTCTCTGGGGGAAATAATGGGATTTTCCTTAGAGCATCTAGGGTGGAACCCAAAAATTGGCAGTTGGTTGCTGACTACTGAGCCTCCAGGCCTCAGGCCTCATCTGACTCAGGTCTAGTGATCTAACTCTCTGCCCCACCCCCAAACAGCCCAATCTGGGGCCCAGAGAGTTGTTCTCCGTGTGTGAAAGAGAATAGGAAATACTTCTAGTGAGAACACTTACTAGGCCCTTAGGTCTCTTCAGTGTAGAATCGGGGGAGAGTAAAGGTCATAGAGCCAAACTAAGTCGAAGCCCAGTTAAGCGTTTGGCAGCTGCATGAGTCACTGAATCTTTGTTATCCTATGAGCATAACCAGCTCTGTCTCACGTAGTTGTGATGAGGATACATAGTTAATACAC